ATCGCAAGTGCTGCCCGGAGACCCCCGAGAGACCTACCAGGAGCCCCCCAAGGGGTCGGCGGTGCGGCATAAGCCCAAAAATCAGAACACGATAGCAGAGCATAGCGACGACGAACACAACGACAGAGCACTACACAACACAACAGAACATGCCAGAACAGAACACGAGCGTGATAGAACATGACAGAAAAAATCAGTTCAACTTCATGACAAACTAGCGCATGAAAGACCATCACATAACATACCATAGCAGACTTGACGGAACAAACTACGACATAACAAAACATACCACAACATAACATATCATTGCATAACAACGCCTTGACATGACATACCAGATCATAACACAGCATCACTGCCCACATCAAAACCTGGCAACAGAGCATAGCGATACATACTAACAACACAAACCATACTATACAATGTATAACCGAACCGTCAACAAAAATAGCATCACGGAAAATACCATAGCAGAAAACGACTGAACAGACGACGACGGATCAGCGCATAACAGAACATAGCCGAGCACAACATAACACACCTTGGCAGAACACCTCATATCACGACACATCATCACAGAACATGCCATACCACGACAACGGAGCATAGCGACGCCGAACACGACAGACCACAACTGAGCATGGCAGAACATAACACGAGCATGACAGAACAGGACCGAACATGGTAGAGCATACCAAAACATCGCATACCATACCAGAGCACAACATGGCATAACAGAAGACGGCAATCCACAACATAGCATAACGTAACCGATCATGCCACCACACACATTGACAGACCAGAAAGAAGCATGCTACAACATCACATAATACATGACAACACGACAGCAGAGAATAGCGACACATACTAGCAATGCATATTATACTATACTATTCACGATACAGAGCCAAGCCGTCAACAAACATAACATCACATAACATACCAGGGCATAACAAGACATCACAGAAAAAATATAACACACCATAGCATCACATACAGTAACCGATCATGCCATAACATCTTGACATAACATACCATATCATATCATGACAGCGTTACAAACCATACCAGAACACGACGGCAACGGAGAGCGAAACATAGTAGCATTACATATCATAATGTCTATGCTGAACCGAGCTGTCAACAGCATCACGGACAACATCATACTATGCCATAGCCTGGCATAGTATATTCTGTCATAGCAAAGTGCCAACGAGCAGACCGTATCATAACATCCCACACCATATGGTGATAGAAGTGCGCATAGCATTACATACCCAATCAGAAGAGAAACAGACAAGTACAGAGGAACATCGTAACAGACGGCGCATCTAACCTCACAGACGTCACGACGTCACGCTGGCCCGTCGAGAACAGTACTGGACACAATAAAGTATGACATGAAAGAACGTGACTACATGGAACACGGTTGAACAGTTTGAATATCCAGAAGCGACAGTTGTGCAGTGGGAGGAGGAGGAGGAGGAGATGGAAAAGAGAGAGGAGAGGTCCGCCTCACCTCCCTCCTCTTCCTCCTCCTCCTTCGTCGTCCGCCTCCTCCTGCTCCTCCTGCTGATGCTCTCCCTCTTCCTCTTTCAACAGGCTGCGGCTCTCTGTCCGTTTCGCCACGCACGTTTTCGAAGCTTGTTGTTTTTCCGCCCGGGGGTTTCTTTCAATTTCTTTCGTCAGGAACTCTGGGGTTGTTGGATTTGGAAAGAAAGGAGTTCGCCACCCGGCCCGACCGCCTCACTGGCCGAGATCACAGGGCCCCGCGCGCAGCGTTCCACCAATTAGGCGACCGCGCGCCGTCGGGAACAAACGCGTAAGGCTGCGGTGGGGCACGGGTAGGCTCCGACCCTGGGCAAATATACATTTCATCGCCCCGCGGTCCGAATGCAAACCGGCGCCCGGAGGCTGGGAGACGGCGGCCAAAAATTTTGACGCCCGAAAGAAGTACGGAAAAAGTGGGTACGATGCCCAACAGCACATGCTATCCTATACCGAAAGCGGCCGCTGTTGGGCAGGTGGCTTTTTTGTCTCGAGTGAACAACGTCCGCGGCGACACCAACACCGAGTCCAGTTCAAAATTGGCAAGAACTGCTGTTAGACTTTGCATCCCGCAAGGGCGGAGAGCGCTCAAGTAATGAATCTTGGCCCGCGGCCCGCGGATGGCCATTCCCGCATGCAGGAACTCTGACTAGACGAGCGCGTTCCACTACTCGCAAAGTAACTACTCGCAAGTGGCCTGGATCCCCCGCGGTGGATCTATGATAAACTACATCAAAACAAACATGTGATTGTCGGGCCAACAGCCCCGGCGGCTGTGGCACCACGGATTACCACAGCCGATGCCCCCTGCCAGCAGGGTAAGGGCCACGTGGGACCGCGGAGCCGCTGTGCTACGGGCTCGTTCGGCTCTGGCGGCGGCTCCAAGCGCCTGCTGGTCCCTGGACGGGCACTCGACCTGTTTGGCCCCGCCCTCCTCCCACTTCTCTCACGGCCAGTCTGGTGCCCTGCCTCGCTTGCTGCCCCCGAGGCGGCTCGCTCCCTGGTCCGTCAGCGGTGGCGCCGATCAGGCGCTCCTGGCGGCGGGCCTCCCCCAGGGTGGCCCGCCCCCTCCCCCGCTTTCGTCCCCTGGCAGGCGCCCAACCTCCTCCGACCAGCAACAACTGGGGGAGCTGTGGTCCCCACCCCCCTGGGGGAACCCATCGCACCGACGATCTCTCGAGAGGGGTGTTGAAATCGATGGGTCCCCCAGGGGGGTAAGGACTACAGCTCCCCCAGTTGCGGCTGGCTGGCTCCTTGTCCACTGGCGGCCCCACCGCGCGTGCTGCCCCACGAGGGTGGCGCGCTGGGTGGGTCCCCGCCCTGCCGCCTTCTTCTGGGTTCCACCACACCGTGCTGCCGCCCTGCGGCCGGGCCTCGAGCACACTGCCCTGTCGCCTCCGCGGCCGAACCTGCTGGCCCTTCCTTTTCCCTCCGCGTTTCCTCCGCCCGCCTTTCTGCTCCCCTCCCTCCCACGCCACCATGGCGCTCCCCGTGATGCCGCCAATGCCTGGACTTGGCCGGTGCATCCTGCCCCAGCTGATGCAGCGAATTACGCCTGGCATCAGCCTCGTGATGATCAATCGGATGACAGCACTTTGCTCGTAGCGCCCCGCACCCCTCCGCGCTCGCCTTGCCGCAGCCCTCCGCGGTCATGCCGCTGGGACCCGGCCCTTGCCCCACATCCAGCAGCCGCTGGCGCAGCAAAGCCTGACACAGCTCGGCCACGTGACGCACAATCGGATGTAACTCTCATGCCTACTGACGCACTGCTAGCACCTGGCCTCCCACGCTTTCAGCGCCTGCAATCCTGGCTGTGGTCCTTGGTTGTGGTCGTGATGCCGCCCCGCGTCCACTGCCATGGTCCGCAGCCCTGGCTGGCCGCACAGGCGCACTCGCCGTCAAACTATTTCACCAATGAGCGCGCTCCTCCATCTTCTGTTCTCTCAGCGGCCGCCCCGCCTTCCCGCGCCCCACTCGCGTATCTGGACAAGCCGTTTGCCGAGCGTCCCCCGGTGCGGATTGCTTTTGCCGTGCTGATGAACTGTGTGCCCGTTGTTTCTGTACCGATGTCGTGTTGCCGGCGTGGTGCGCTCGGCGTGGTGCCCCCGGCGGCCCAGAGAACCCCGCCATGAGATCCCCCTAGTCATCGACTCCTCTTGGCCGCCCCCCCCGAGCCCTGGTCAGACGTCTCACTGCCCCGCAACCCCGGGAGACGGCGGCCAAGAGGCGCCGTCGTCGGGCTCTGGGCGGCCGGTGGTGCGGCGCCGGCCCCCCAAAAGTGCCCCAAGACGGTGTTGCGAGGCCTGGCCGGACGGACCCTACCGAAGCCTAAGCAGGCCCAGAGAGCCCCCCTGAGCCCAGCAACGCCCTGCAAGTGGAGTCGGAGGCCTCGAAGACGAACCCTCCACTACCACCCTAGAGAGGCATCCTGAAGCTCCTGGAGAGGAGAGGAGGGCGGAGGCGGCGGGAGTGGTGGACGAGCACGGCCCCACTCGTTGGCGCCCCCCACCTCTGAGTCCGCTCCCCTCCCCGCGCCGTCCCACCCCGTGCCCTCCCTCACCGCCTACTGCCCCCTCCCCGCATGCTGCCCCCCGCCCCCCCGCAACCCCAGCCGTCCCTGCCTCCCCCTCGCACCCCTCCTCCTCCTCCTCCTCCTCCTCCTCCTCCTTCTCCTCCTCATCCTCCCTTTCCTCCCGTTCCTCCTCCACTCCCTCCTGCCCCATCCTCTTCCTTCCCATCCGGACGACGACGTCGACGACCGCCGGCGGCACCGCCACGACGACTCCGACGACGACGAGGCCGACCGCTGACGACCGCCGACGGCACCGACGGTCGACGAGAGATCGCCGACGACGACGACCGCCGACGGCACCGACCAGAAATCGCCGACGGTACAGAGGAGAGATCGCCGACGACCATCGACGACGACCGTCGACGACCACCTTGGGCTCCGACAAGAGGTCGCCGACGGGGCCCCTGGCGCCGCCCGCAAGCGCGCCACCACGCAGGCGCGCTGCCCCCCCTGAGCAGGAGCGGACCGTCCCGGCATTCCTGCAGTCCTACCGCGAAGTCCCTCCCTTGAGCCACACGATGCAAGCGATGCCACTAGAACACGAGCCGCTGGATTCAAACAAGAATGTCTCGCCCAACACCGCTCCAAGAACATGCTGTGCACACCTCGGGTGCGCACGTACAGTGCGGGCGCGGTCGCAAGAAACCCTCGCAAGAAACCCAACCCTGGAAACCCGCGCGCGAGGTGAACCTGATGGAAAAACCCGAGCAGCCTGAACGAATCAGCTTCTTTGACGGCCGTGGGAAGTCACCGCGCAGCGCGCGGAACGAAGGAACCCTGGGTACCCTGACGAGACTCAGATGGTCTCTTGATGCGCGCCCCCACCGTAGGCGAGCCAGGACGCTCCGCCACTGCGCGGGCGCGCCGCCCCGCGCGCGGCCTGCGCGCCTCCGGCCTGGGCGGGGCACTCCGCCAGCGACGGCGCGGTACTCTCGCAGCTGGGGGCGCCTCCGGAGGGCGGGGCCGGCCGCCCTCATGAGATCACGGCGCAGCACCCCTGGCGATGCATCGGCGATGCGGCGCGGTCCTCCGACCCCATCTGCTCGAACCCCCAATTGGGAGGCCTCCCGAAGATTGGGTTCCGAATACGGTCGATGCTAGTCCGCCAGAAACCCAAGCCTGAAATCCGTCAAGGTTTTGGTCCAGGGCTGAATGTCTTGCATGTTGGCCGCAAAAAAAAAAAAAAACAGGGTACCCTGATCCGCGCGATGTCTTGGCCGCTGGCGTAGACCAGCTCGGCATCAAGACACACAAAGCGATCGAAAATGCAAGCTTCGAACTTGCGCACACAGAAAGATAATGATCCTTGCTGGGGGAAACAGTTTGGCGCCCCTGTAGGGCGCGCGCCACACAGGCGACCCACCAGCGGGTGGGTAATCCGAATAGTGTTGAAACAAAGACATGTTTCATTTTCGCTTCGGACTTCAACATGGGGTGGTGCATTCCTACTCCACACGATTGCCCTTGGAACGCGCGCCGCGCAAGTGACCACCAGCGGGTGGGTCACCCAAGAAGTGGTTGAGAAACACAACACCATTATTTTGCATTCTGGGCCTCAACATGCAATTGTGTATTAAGACTCCGTACGATTCCCCTGCGGAGCGCACGCCGCGCATGTGAGCCACCGGCGGGCGGGTCACCCGAAAACTGGTTGGGAAACTCGCACTGTTCGCTTTCGTTCTGGGCCTCAAAATGCAATGGTGCATTCCCACTCCACGCGCTTCCCCTGTGGAGCGCGCGCCGCGAAGGTGACTCACCAGTGGGTGGGTCACCCGAAGATAAATCTCGAAAAAGGCAATGTTTCACTTGCGTTAGGTTTTCGGGCGCGCGCCTTGAGTGCGCCCGGGTTCCCGCGGCACACTGGCTCGCCCCCACGAACGCGCGCGCGCGCTGCGCGTGCCAACAGACGAAGTGGCGGGAGAAAAAAAAGAAACACAAGGTAACGCCACGCCCCCGATATTCACCCCAAGGGATGGCAATGTTCGGGGTTCCGCGGGAATATTAAGAACACATCCCGGCAGCTTACAAGTAGCATGGTATTCCCATACCCTCCTCTTTCTGGCAAGGCCTCTCTGGCGCCGTGGTTGATGCGTATTTTTTCGGATCGATGACTGCGCCGTTGACAATCGATGAACAGTGGGTCCGTACATGTCTCGATCAGCAACAGAATTCACCCAACGCGCGGGTTACTGCCCATGGCCCATGCAGAGGAAAAAACAGGAGGGGAGAGGAACGATCGGCATCAGAGACATCGCCCACAACCAGGAAAGCCATCGCAGTGACTGCGGCCGAGGGTCGGGGCGGGCGGCGGCCCCAGCGCATCGTCGGAAACCTGCGCCGCGCAGGGAACCGCATAAACAAACGGTGGCTCAGCGAGGCCACGCGCGCGCCTTGTCGCCCGCGCTGGGCAAGCCGTCGGTGCCAGATGGCCGAAGAGCGACAGCGGCACTCTGCTGGCCGACTTTGACGCAGCGAGACAGGCTCTCGGGAAACCCGCCGAAGAGGCACAAGTGGCGGCACTGCGGGGGCCGCTGCGCAGACAGGGCGAGAGAGCAGACAGGCGCAGGGGCACAAACAAAGAAGTGGAAGACAGGAAGCAGGGCCAGAGAGAGAGAGAGAGAGAGCGAGAGAAAGAGAGAGAGAGAGAGAGAAAGAGAACGAGATAGAAAGACGATCCCACGCCGCTGCTGATACTTCCGCAGGGCAGGGACATCCGCATCGCAGTCTGGGCACAAGCCTCCCGCGCGCAGCGCGCAGTTCTTCGCCAGGGCGAGCCGCTCACCCAGCAGCGCTAATCAGCCCAGGCCCTGGAGCGAGAAATCGAGCTCTGCGCGGGAGATCGGACGCGGGCGGGCCCTGGAGGGGGCCCTCCAGAACTCTCGTGGTCGATGCCTGCGGGGGGAAGCAGCCGCAGGAGCATGCCCTGGCGCGCCCGACAGATTGGCATTCCAAGTGGCAGAACATGCGACGGAAGTCAGAGAGGACAGCAGCGGGTCTGGCGAGGTAGAAACGGTCGAGACGGCCCGCGCGCAAGGGCGCCCCACTGTGCATTTCGCGAACGCCCGGGCCAGTCCGTCGCATTTCAGCCCACCGATGAGAACCCCCAAACAAACATGTCATGCCAACACCGGCCCCCAGGACGCCGCCCAGAGCCGTCGCCGCACTGTGCCCCGTGTTCCTCCAGGTCATCGTTGGAACCACCCCGGTCACAAGCTGAGCATTCCCCGCGCCCTTACGTGCCTCCTTGATACACCGCAGAGAACGACAGAAAGCCAAGGCTTGCTCACAAGAGGCGGGGTGATGAACAGCGGGCACCCTACGAGATGCACATGGATCAAGGCATTTCGAGCTGAAAATTCGTCCCGGATCCGTGACAGAATGCCATATTTCCGTGGAGGGGGGCAGGGGGCGGCTGATAAGACGGCCAGAACTCCACCGGCAATCTCGAAACGCACCCAGAGGGAACCAAGACTCTCTCCGCGAAGGTCGTGACACAATGCGCCCGCGTCTCCAGCTGCCCCATGAGTTTCCCGTGGACAAGGAACGTTCGCCCGACGCGAGCATGCCAGGAGCTTCTTGCGCCGCCGCGACGCGCGCACACAGGAAGAGGCGATGGCAGCGAAGAGACCCCAAGTGTCCCAAGTAAGAGCAATCATAGAGGCAGAACGCGGAGGGGGATGGAAGAGACATTCCATGTGGCGCGCCCCCGGCATCGAGGGAAGTACTGCTGGACTCACCCGGCTCTCAATCTGAGCCACTAGAAGAGGAATTGAAACAGGTGAACCCCTCTGCATGAACCGCACGTTTCAACAAAGCTGGGCCCAGGGCCAAAGCAGGACAATAGCGACCTAGCCAGCCAAGCTCATTCTCAAAACGGACTCGGGGCAACTGTTTTAAACGCATCCTTGACTCTCTGTACAAAAAGCTCTAGGCTAAACGAACGGATCCCAGCATCATGCTGGGACATGTGACTGACCTGGGAAGTCTGCGGGCAGCAAAGATAATAAAACAGCGGGACGCCCCTCCACCCCCCCGAGCGCAGCCCGGAGACATCCCCACCGATCCCTTTCGAATTCGCGTGAAGCCTCTTTTACTCACTTCCACCTGGACAGCATGCCAGACCTTACCCATCATGAAAAACCACAAACGTTGTTCAGGAAAAACCTACGGCGAACGCGAAGCGGCCACACGTCGGCAGGGCCCCAAAAGCTGGTCATATGGAGCGCAACGCTGAGCTTCCGAATGTTGTCGGAAAAGTCAGACGCCATGACTGGGGGGGCGGGTCCGACGTGATTTGCCTTTGAAAGTCATACGCACGGGTACGGATCAAACTTCCTGCTTTCCCTGTTGCATACTTCGAGATGGTGTCCTGGGCCCCTCGTTCAAGGGTCTGCGTCATGAAACGATCCTCAACGCCAACTGAAGAGCCGATGCCCACATTCGAGCGAAGTCGGGTTTCCGCTGGTGTGCCAGTCGAAGCATCCGAACGCATGTCAATCGCACGCCGCTTGCCAAGAACCGAATTAGAAACGGGTGCGTTGGAAGCAACCACCTGTCGAGAGTGCTCAACTGCATCCAACTGAGCCTGCACCGCGCTCCGTTTAGCAAAGGTATCATCGCACCTGGTGCTCAGTTCCTTGACGGACTGACCTCGGATGGCGATCGTGGAATCCCACCAGCCCTCTGGGCGTCGGTGGTTTAGAGCGCTTCCTCTTCCACCCCTCCTTCTTCCCCTTCGGGGAGGGGTTTACCCCTCCCCCTACCCCCTCCCCACTGACCTGGACAGGGGGGGCGGAGAGCGGTCAGAGCGTCCAAAACGGCCTCGCCGAGGAAGCCAAAATCATTGATTTTACTAAGGTTTTGGCCCCATTTTGGCCCCCAGAGGGGGCAGCACTAATTGAAGCTCCCCTCTTCTTTGATCGATTTCCTCTAAGATGGCCCCAAGAAGCGCCCAGGAGGCACCAAGAGGCCCCAAGATGGCCCCAAGATGGCCCCAAGAGGCCCCCAGGAGGCCCCCAAGAGGATCCCAAACGGCCCAAAGAGGCCCCCCCGAGGCACCCAAGACGCCGAAAAACCCCTCAGGACGACCTTCTACTCGCCTGGGCGTCGTTTCTGGACGGGCTGGTGGGGATACGCGAAGCGTCTAGAATTGATACCTAAGATCTTATGATCGAGCATCTGTCTGGTCGTCTGATGAAACTCGGCGAACATCCCATTCAGGATCGCAAGATCGACTGTCATGGCTGAAAACGATCAGAGGAAAGGAAGGAGGGCAGGAACTCGCATGCTGGATAAGATAAGCTGGATCCACAACAACCTCTTGGCAACGGCTCTCGAGCCAGACTGCTGGCTGTGATCAAGATCGAAGCCACAGGCAAAATGGCCACGGAGCTCTGGCTGAGAATGAAGATTACGATGATGACGATGATGATGATGGTGGTGTTGATGTTTGTGCTACTCCTGATCACCAAATCGTATCTGCGATTGGAATTCCAGCGGTGAAAGTGAAGTTCGGCGTGGCCGCACACCACTGAATAACAAAGTCTTTGAGCCTGGGGTAATCATGACAAAATGGTGAAAGGGAGCAAATTTTAATATCTGGGGCATGCCGTTACCCTGGCTGCCCCAGAGTTTCTTTGAGCTTCGGGCGCGGGTCCGCAAATTCACCAACGCCCAAGAAACCCATGTATTCTGACATGTGCAGTCTCTTGAAAAATGGTGACGACCTTCCGCGCCGAACGCAAGCCTAAGAAATCCAGTGGACCCCCAAAACACAGGGTGTTTCTTGTCATGCGTGGTCAAACGATCGCTCTGCATCGCCGATACAGTCGCGATGGGGCGCGATCCTCCGACCCCATCTGCTCGGACCCATTTTGGAGGCCTCGGTTTTGTGTCACGACGGGTGAATTTACCTTGTTTCAAGCCCTGGGGACGGCTCTTAAACATGCCGCAGGGAGATGGGGTCCAGGACTCGTCGGTTGAGTTTGTGTTTGCAAATGTTCAGTTTGTCAGAGCCGTCGGATGTGAGGATCGGTCGTCGGCCGACCGATTCATCGCAGGATCGTTCGGAGCATCGGTCGAGGTGCTTCTTCATTCTGGCTGCACGCACAAGGGGGTGAAGGGAGGGGGGAACGCTTCTTAGGAGCCTGCTTCTCAGAAGGCGCCGGCCCTACATCTACAGCTAAGGTCCGCGCCTTCTAAGAAGCAAGGGTGCTTCTGAGGAGCTCTCCCCCCCTCCAACTCCCTCTCCGCGTGGCTGATCATTCCTGGCCGACCCAGGGGCCGTGTCCCCAATGCTGGCCGACCAGGGGGGCTGTCTTCGGGACGCTGGGGCGCTCCAAGATGTGCCCGTGGCGAGGTGCAGTACCTGGCCAGGGGCAGGGGTCGAGGCTTCTGGGGCGCGGCGCCGTCGAGGCAAGACGAAGCCAGGACGAAGACAAAATCGAACAAATAATTCGGGGATCTCTGAGACCCAGCGGGCCTGTAGGATGTATTGGCCGCCCTTCTGAGAGCGTTCCGGAACGCTCTGAAAGCGTTCCAAAACGCTCTGGAACATATTGATCCTTGTCCCAGCCCCGCCCGACGAGGTTCGAAGATCGAGGTAATTCGTGTGAGGTCTCTGGCCCCACTCGGGCCTCGGTGGGGCCTCTTCTCGTCGCAACGGCTGGACTCACTCCGAGAAATTCTGGCAAAACGTACCCCAGGAGATGTCCAAGGGTCGACTTTTAAGGGTCGATGCTTTTTTGATATCTTTCGGCCCCGTTTCGGAGGCGTCTTGTCGCCACTGCTGGCTTCCCCTCGGAAGTATGGTCAAAGCCCGACCCAGGAAAGATCCAGTGAATGAATTTTGATCAGAGTCGTCGGCCGTCGGTCGTCGATTATCGTGGTCGTCGGCAGTCCGTCGTCTGCCGTGGCCGCCGTTGCCGGTCGGCACATAGCCGCACGATACATTGCAAAGATATCGCGACACCGAATGGAAACTCTTCGTGGATCGTCACCAATATCAATGGCACGACACCGTGAGTTGTTGTTGCTGCTACTGCTGCTGCTGCTGCTGCTGTTGCTGTTGCTGCTGATGTTGCTGTTGTTGTTGGTGTTGATGTTGTTGCTGTTGTTGTTGTTGTTGCTGTTCTTGCTGCTGTTGCAACGCCAGGCCTTCGGACAACAACGAGGGAGTATAACGCTGATGGGCTACAAAGACGACAACGTGTCATTGCTACCCTGTCTCCCTCCCGAACTCTTACAGTCGGGAAACTCACATGTACGGATACCGTTACTCCCAGGAACTCTCCCAGGGTGCGTTTTGAGTAGAATTTCGAAGCGAATCTCGCGGTGGCGACGAGGGCCTCCCAGGAGGCCCAACAGGCGGAAACGAGGGACGGATAGCAGTATGGGTTCGTGCTGGCGTGCGAGCTGTCTTCAGCTATTCCTATACATTCCCAGACGGCACAGGCGCGACACGTTACCTGCCCCGCCCGCCCCACCTCCCCCCACTGGTAAAGCCAGTTATCGCCCAAGGTTCAAAAAAACGCTCCTTAATCATGTCCGCCTTGAGCCCCTGAACCGCCCACTCCTGAGATCCGTCGCTGCGGGATAAAATGTGACATCGCAAAACGCTTGGCCGGAATCCTTCAAACCAGATCGACCCATGAGGGGCCTGGTGCTCAAAAAAACGAGGCAAGCTCGCCCTATGCGAGAAAAAATGCGACGCCAGGATCTCAGGGCCCCCCGATCATATTCGCCGCCGACCCCTGGGGGGTTAATCAATGGGGAGCGATAAATGTGGAAGGGAATCGTGCACCTTTCGTGCCCGTTTTGGACCCCAGGGCCCCAGGGGGCCCCTTCAGGGCACGAAAGGTGCACCTTCCTCGGACCCCCTATCGATCGCACCCCCATTACTCGACGCCCGAGCCCCGACCATGTCCCTGTGGAACCCGTTTGATCCCGAAGCGGTTTCTGACTGTCCCGGGGCTCGGCGCGGGCCCCTGGAAGCCGAACACAGCAGCAAAAGCTCCCGCCGTGATTTTCCCCCGGCGCTAGGGGGCCCCCCGGTCATAGCCGTCGCCAGCTCGCGACGACGACCCCGAGTCGTTTCTGGAGTGTCCCCTGCCCTAGCGAGGGCCCTCGGAGGTCGAAAATGTAGAGAAACCGTTGGCTCAGTTGTGTCAGCTCCTTGGAGCTTTGTTTGGGCCCCGGTCGTTAGACGTTTCCCACATGAGGTCCAAGTAGATGGGGTCGGGGCATCGCCGATGCATTGCCGACGTCAGCATGGAGAAAGTCTGGCCCCACATCGAGTCGCATCTGCGTTGCTATCGGCATGTCATCGGCGATGCCGCGCGAGCATCTGACCCCATGTAATTACTCGGACCCCAATTAGTAAGATTAGCGATAACGCCCGTGATTATCACAGGCCATCCCCTCCTCCCCTCTGGTCACATCACGATCCACGCCGGCGCCTTTTCTGGGAACAGAAACCATTGCAAACCATTCCCGGACGGCGCTGGTGCGAGTCGTGACGTGACCGGCTCCCCTCCTTCTCCTCCTCCTCCTCCTGCTCCTCCTCCTCCTCGCCCCCACTCCATCCTCCTCCTCCTCCTCCTCCCCCTCCTCCTCTTCCTCCTCTTCCTCCTCCTCCTCCTCCTCGTCCTCCTCCTCCTCCTCGTCCTCCTTTTTTCCCCCTTCGTCCTCCTCGTCCTCCTCCTCGTCCTACTCGTCCTCCTCGTCCTCCACGTCCTCTTCGTCCTCTTCGTCCTCCTCGTCCTCGTCGTCCTCGTCGTCGTCCTATGTAATCCTTCTCCTCCTCCTCCTCCTCCCTCCTCCTCCACCTCCTCTCCTCCTCTCCTCCTCTCCTCTACTCGTCCTCCACGTCCTCTTCGTCCTCCTCTCGTCCTCCTCGTTCCTCGTCCTCGTCCTAATCCTTCTTCACCTCCTCCTCGTCCTAGTCCTCGTCCTAGTCCTCCTCGTCCTCTCCTCGTCTCCTCCTCCTCGTCCTCCTCGTCCCTCCTCTCCTCCTCCTCCTCCTCTTCCTCCTCCTCCTCCTCGTCCTCCCCCCACTCCCACTCCCACTCCTCCTTGACCTCCTCCTCCTCGACCTCCTCGTCTTTGTCGTCCTCCCGATTTTTCCTCTCCACTCGTCCTCTCCTCTCTCCGTCCTCCTCGTCCTCGTCCTCTCCTCCTCCTCTCCTCCTCCTCCTCGTCCTCCTCCCTCCTCCTCCTCTTCCTCCCTCCTCGTCCTCCGCCTCCTCCTCCTCCTCCTCCTCCCCTCCCACTCCTCCTCCCCCTCCTCCTCCTCCTCGTCCTCCTTGTCCTCCTCGTCCTCCTCGTCCCCCTCGTCCTCCTCCTTCTCCTCCACTTTCCCCTCCTCCTCCCTCCTCCTCGTCATCGTCCTCGTCGTCCTCCTCGTCCTCCTCGTCCTCCTCCTCCACCTCCTCGTCCTCCTGCATCTCTTTTCTCTTCTCTTTCTCCTCCTCCCCTCCTCCTCCTCCTCCTCCTCCTCCTCCTCGTCCTCGTCCTCGTCCTCGTCGTCCTCGTCCTCCTCCCCCTCCTCCTCCTCCTCCTCCTCCTCCTCCTCCTCCTCCTCCTCCTCCTCCTCCTCCTCCTCGTCCCACCCAAGCCCTGCAGGCGGCGCCGAAGTCCGCCGCCGAGGAGCTCGCCGCGGAGGGCGCCTCAACGCTGCCGCAGGCATCTGGCAGCCTCGGCTCGGCGCCGCGCGCAGCGCGGCGAGCGGCGCTCGCAACGCGTGGCCGCGGAAGGTGTCGGCAGGAGCCCTCGCAAAGCTGATTGGGAGCGTCGTTTCGTCGCTCGCTTCGTCGTTCGCTTCGTCGTTCGCTTCGTCGTCCGTTCGTGATCTCGTCGGATCTTAATTCGTCCGTCGTTTCGTCGCCCCTGCGTCCTTTAGTCAGGATGAAGATGGTGCTCGTTACTGCCAAGCGCCGGGGCAGGGCGAAATATGACCTCAATTGATCGGAGGACCCCCTTTGCCAGAGAAATGTTTCTTTCGGAGGCGAACCGTTTTGTTCATAGCCCCTGGAAGGCTAGATGCTAGATGTCGGATGTTTCGCACATCGATCTATGGCCGCAATCTACGGCCATCTCCGCTACCATGAAAACCGCAAGCGGACGGATAGCGATAAACAACGGTATTGTATGACCCTCCCCGCTACCATCAAAGTAGCACCACTCAGACCTTGAGCAAACGTTCGTGGGCATACAAATCGCATGGCATCAAACAGAATCCTCGTTCGTTCCGTCATCCTGCTGGGTTTTGTAGTGTCTTCCGTTGAACAGTTTAACTTCGGCGCAGTCTCTCGGCCCTTATCTTCGCGACCCCCAGCTCATTTGCGCGCTTTTCTCGCGCCGGACGCCCTTGACGCACAAGATGCCCAAGGCCCCAAGACGCCCAAGGCCCCGTAGGGCCGAAGGCCCCAAGACGCCTAAGGCCCTAAGACGCCTAAGACCCCAAGACGCATAAAGCCCACTAGGGCCTAAGGCCACATGACGCCTAGGGCCCCAAGCCGCCTAAGGTCCCAAGGCCGTTCCCTGGCTCAGCTGCGAGGAAGTCTCGGGCGGGAACAAGCAGGAATGCGCGGGGGGGGCGAGGAGGAAAATGGGGCAACGCCCTCTTAGCTGTCGTTCAAAAACCGTACCTCGTTAGCTCCTGGCTCGCGCTCGAGCCGTAGACCCATTAGTTTCTGGAGCACCCTGGGCGCAGCTCTCAGCCTATCATGCTGGCGCGTTTTCGCTGAGGCTTGGGGCCCCAGCCCAGCCTTCTCATCCTCCTCATCCGCCCCCCCTACCCCCCTCGCCCTCATCCCCCACCGCCCCCCTTGCCCCCGCCCCCCCCCCCCCTTTCTCCCCGGGGCAGGCCCTCGCGCTCAAAGCGCCGACGTGCCAACGTGAAGACACGAAGATAGCGTCCGCGACCTTGCCATTCCACCGAATGTCGCACCCTCGCTTGCTATCCACTTTTTTCCCGGGCGGCCGAGGCTCCGACGCCGAAGATTAATCGCGCGCCTCCTGCGCCTCCTGATCAACCGTGTCCTGGATATTATTGAGGCGTTGTTCGAAGCCGGTGAAGGGGAGCGCCCTCTGGCCGCCGTTCTCTCGGAGGAACTGGTCGAGATTTGGCGAGGCACCTCGACGACGGCGTCGCCGACCAAAGCAAGGGCCAGCGCAGGCCACGCACCTCGCCGCCGCCCAGAGAGACCTCTATGATCATGTAGTTCCGGGGGGGGGGGGGGGGCGAACCAGGCTTGGGTTTCGCGGCGACAGCGCCGCTCTCCTGGACAAGGTTGAAGAGGTCGGTCAAGCTCACGTCCATCAGCGTTTCGCGCTTCTCCGCAAGCGCGTCGGCAATCGCGGCGTCGATCCGAAATCCAGCTAGCGCGACCTCGCCCTCCAAGACGAAGCGAACCTGCGAGATGCAGTAGGGCGCATTCGAGATCGAATGCAAATCACGAGGGCGCTGCCAGAAACTAACCGTCGCGAGATCCGTCAGCCACGGACACCCTTCGCGCGTCTGGCCCGGGATCAGCTGGGCCTCGATGACCTCAGCAACGCTATTTTCCACAATCTACTTGGCGGCATCCTCGACGATGCATGCGGCGCTCGTGTCCAGAGTCGTCCTGTGCATCGCCGCCTTGCCCCGTGCTCTCTGTGACTTGTAGTGTCCCATGTCGGTGATCGCCTTGGCGCAATCTGCTGCCCTCCCGGATGAGGCCCTGACCGCGCGACCATTTTGCGGTCTGCGCTTTCCAGAAGATGCCGACGCCCGGGGCCGACGCTTTCTCAGTGCACTCGTAGTGCGCCTTGAACGCAGTCGTGAGAGGAGCCGTGAACTTGGCCAGGCTTTCCACTCATCCATTATTGTTCAGCTGGTGCTGGTTTGCCTCCTGGCCCCTCTTCTCTGCCGTTTTTGGCCACCTTGGCGCAGCCCTTAGCTTCGCTGATCAGAATGCCGACGGCGGCCACAAGCTCTTCGACGCCCCCCCCCCCCCCCCCCAACCTTGATTGAGGTAGACCCTCGCGATGGCCACCACCTCCACTTGCTTGTCGATGATGGCCTCCGCGCCGATGGATGCGCCCAGCTTTCGGCTCTCGGCCTTCGCCAGGCTCTCAGTGATCTCGCGCTCGAAGGCTTCGGCCGTGCCCGCGAGCTCCTTCTTGCCATCTTCGTTCAAAGAACCTCTCAGGCTGATATGGCCTCTGTGTAGAACTTCGTCTTGGCCGTCTCGATATTGTTACCCTCGGCGGCGCGCTGGGCTGGGCGATGATAGTAGACTCCAGAACTGTCTTTGCCAACAAGACTGACGTCTTGGGCTTCTTGTTTGGAGATGGCTCCGGGTTGTTCTGCTCTGAGCCTTTGTGACGCGACTGCAGGTCGCTGCCCTCTCTCCGCAACTCATCCAGGCCGTCTTTGCTGTCGATCACCTGCGCCTGCTTCAAGGCGTTCCTCAGTTCGTCGGATGCCAAATTGCGCATGCCGGCGCCACCGACCCTTCCGAGCAACCACTGGCCGCGGACTCTATTAACCTTCGGCTTCTCAGGGTCGCTCAAAGCATGGGGCCGCGAACTCTTTGCACCCTCTTCATCTTCGCAGCGCTTCAAACCGATCCGCCTAAGGCCGAAGTCTTCGAACGTGTCGAACAGGCCCAGCTCGCCACGCGTCGAGCTCTGCACCTTGCCACGCTCGATGGGGCCTTTGACGTGGCCGCCCTTGACCTTCTGCCTCGCCCTCATGCCGCGATGGCAGCATCGAGGGCACGAACGCATCGACCACTCAAGCAAACTCGGAGATCGCACCAAAAAGCAAAATGCCAGAGTTCGTAGAATTCTGGTGTTGTTTCGCAAACGCAGTCGTACCCTTGGGCCCCAACCTGCCATCTCGGCACGGTGGAACGCCGCTTCCTCGTCCGGGGTCATCTCCGCGTCGTCCTCAGTCAGCAGCTCTTTCGAGTCCCTCTTCTTCTTGTGCTCAGCAGAGCGCCTGGTTGCCATCCTGTCAGTGTCACAGTCCGTGCATCTCCTACGCAAGGGGATCCGCGCGTCCGAAGGGTAAGAATTCGCCGTGGTAGTCGGCCACTGGCACCTCATGCGCGAAAGTGAAAGAAACTGCTCGTGAGCGCTGGTGGCTGCGCCCGCCCCATCGGTCGAGGGCCCTGCGGCCGCCGACGGCACGCCGGTCGCGGAGTCGTGGACCGCGAGGTCGGAATCCACTCGGCTGCTTTGGCACTCGAGCGAAAATGACAACAGAACATCAGACTGTCTCTGTTTATCATCCATGCCTATCAACGTTGATCTTGCTACCTGCATTCTTGTTTATATAGTTGCGCGCGCCGTGTAGCGCGGGTGATCTTTTTATCGTAAATCGTGTTCCCTTTTGCAGCGAATAGTGCTTCATGTTTGTTCATCGTTTAGCGTTTGCGCTTCGTCGCTTTTATCGTTCAGAAGTAGTGTGTGATGGTTTCCTCTCCTGCATGCGACATGGTTTTTCTACCTGCGCCATCGGGGGCCTTCGTATTGCGCGACTATCAACTATGACAAGAGGCGCCGCAATGAAAGACCGCCAGGGGGATAGGGGAAAGAACAGCCGGCAAGCTGCGTCATAGACGCGCCCGGGGTCCCACGCGCAGTCGTCGCTCCACTGCTTGGAACAACACGAATGCGCGCAAAAGCCTAGAGCATGGCATGCTACGCGAGAGCGCGTTGCTCACGCAGATTGAACATGCTGCGCAAGAGCTCGCAGCTCGCGTGGGCTGAGGCGCGAAGCGTGGTCCTCCTTGACCAGCCCACCATCACTAACAATGCCCAAGATGAGCACGACTACGGCGCCGACCATCGGCACGGGGAAGGCATCCCCGCACGCATTGACAAGCGCCGGCCCGCCCAATATCTAAGCCGCGGCAGGCCCGCGCCCTTGCATGGCGAGCCTCTCCTGAGGAGCCGGGAGGCGGCGGCGCATCCGATCGAGCCGGCCCATGTCTAGGTCGGCCTGGATCGCCACGACTAGTTTGGCGGCTTTGGCGGCGAGGGCGGGCGCATCGTCGCAGACGACGTCTGGCTTCCATCCGTTGCCGAAGCCTGTATTCAAAAGCGAAGATCACGACCGTGGCCCCGCCCCACTTCTCGCCGCGCACCTGGTCGAAGAGCACGCCATGTAGTCGGCGTGGTTCTTGCGGGGCCGAGGCTCCGAGGCGCCCGGGTGCATTTTCTGGAAATGTGGATTGAGCATGTCCGCCAGACGGGTCTTGGGAAGCCGCTCGATCGGCAGCGGGGGAGGCATGGGCCGCCTCGGAGAGCATCACTTCTGACGCCGATAACCCAACACCGCCTACGCCTCTGGGGCGTCAATATGGACGCATCTACCATGTGGAAAGTCACAGAGAAGACGGGGATGCGCTCCTTGAGAGACTGCCTCACCCAGTCGACGTAACGCTGAGAGCCTGAACATGATGACGCCGCTGATAGGATGCCACTTGCATTCCCTAGCGCAAAGAAAAATAACTAACTGACCTCGAAATGCCAGATGCACAATCCAATCGGTGAGCCTGTCATAGACTTGGCTGCGAGCATCTGCGCAGCCCTTGCGCTATGGCGGGCAAGGGCCCCCGCTATGAGCCCGTCACAGTCCTGCAGTCCAGCAAAACAGAATTGCAGCAAATCGCCTTCTCACCCGCATCGGAACTGTTTCGCGAGATCCTCGCCGAAGAGGTGCGTCTACAATTCTCGGTGGCCTTCAATCTTGTCGAATGCATTCGCTGGCGCGCAGTTGGCGCCCCACTTGCTGGGGGACACATGAGAACTGCGAATGCCTTAACATGGTTCTGATATGGCTGGCCGCCGCGCAAACTGAAATGCCCGCCGGGCCAGCCGAGCCCTTTCGAATCGAATTGGGAGGGGATGCGTGGCAGAGGGTTCCATCGTCTCGAGATTTGGCTCCCGTGCACTTGGTGCCTCGCAGATCTTTTAGCCCATATGGCAAAACAACGGCGTCAATTCGGTTTGGCCATCCTGGGCGAACGTCGAATCGTTATGCTATACTTATATACCCATATGGGCGCCTAAGGCCCCAAGGCCGGTGGGGTGCGGGGGGAGGTGTCCAGCAACCCAGACGCTCTGAGCTCTGAGATGGCCTTTGTGGCCGTTTCCCCCTTCGTGGAACGGGCCCGGGCCCTTTTGCGGAACGATCCCAGGGCTTTTTGTGGATCAAGTCCAGGACCTTTGTGGGACGGGCCTGGGCCCAGGGCTTTTCTGGAAGAGGTCCAAGGCCTCTGTGGACGGGCCCCTCTTCGTGGAGAGCGCCTTGCCTTTGTGGAACGGGCCCGGGGCCTTCGACGATTGGACGCAGGGTTGTGGGACGGGCCCCCCGTCGTGGAAAGCGCTCGAGCCCTTGCTGGCCGGCCGGACGCAGGGCCTTTGCAGAGCTCGCTCGGGGCAATGGTGGAGCGTGCCAGGGGCCTTTGTGGAACGAGCCAAGTGCCTTTGAGGAACGGGGCGTGAAACCTTTGTGAACCAAGTCACGGGCTTTCGTGGAACGGGTCCCTATTTGTGGAAATGGGCCGCTGCTCCTCAGACGGGTGCTCGCTGCGCCAAAGCGAAAGCCACACTCACAGAGACGGCCCATCCCAAGCCAATTGGAGCGTTGAGAACTGTTCAGATGAGTGTGCGCGGCGCCAAGGCGATTACAGGCTGATTTATGACATGGTATATTCCTCCCCTGCCTCACCTTCCAAACACCTTCTCATACAGAGCCGTCGCGACTCTAATGACGTACACTACAGGCCAGGCATCTCTATGGCTATGGATGTTCATCCTGCCAGTGATGAGGCCCTCACCAAGGGTCCTTCTTTTACTCTGCGCGGTCGGCCTGGACATGCTGCGTTAAAATCACAAAGAGTGGAGGTGAAGGTGTGGGGACAGGTGAGTTCGCAAGCAATGCAGAAGGGCCCGTCCTGGCCCTAGTAATTAGTAATGGCATCTACCCAACGTGCGTGGGAGCAGGGCGATCTCAAGATTGGATTGGACTAGCGGCAAGTGAAGCCTGCCCCTCCTTCCCCTCCTCCCTCACTCATCCCTCCCTCCCTCCTCTCTACTTTCTCCTTCTGCCCTCCTCCCGCCCTCCCTCCTCCCTGGTCCATCGTCCCTCCCTCCTCCCTCGGGCTCCCTGCGGTGGCAACCGAGGCCGCCACCTGTCCCGGTACCGCCTGCAGGAGGGGCACTGCGGGCCGTCCGCGGGCCCGCACCTGCGGCAACGGAGGTGGGGAGGGGGGACAGGGGACGGGGAGGGAAGGGGATATGGCCGGGGGCGTGCAAGAGGGGGGCGTCCAACAGGGGGGGCGTCGCCAATCATGGCCCGAGGCATGTGCGCGGGCGGGGAGGGGAGCCGGGGACAGGTTGACCGAAGACGAGATTTGGAGAGAGATCATGGCCTCAGCTATGCCCACCCATTCCTGATCATCACCCCCTTCTTGGTCGTCCACGAACTAGACACCTACACCGATCCTGGCCGGGACCGGTGCAGGTGTATAGTTTGTGCCCTCCGAGGACAGGGGGGCCAATTCTCTGGGCCCTCCCAGACAGGGCCAGATTGGCGTCGGGTCATTGTCTCAATCACGGATTGGAAACTTCAATCGCGGCGTTGTTCCTCAATTCTGGCTTCTGGCTGTCCGTTCTGAGGCTCCGGAGCTGTCAGAACTGGGTACGGAGGGAGGATCTGGAGGCCGCCCGAATGGGGCCAAAATAGAATGAGTCGAAGGATCGAGCAGCACCGCCAATGCATCGATGATGCCGCGCGATCCTCCATCGCGATCTACTCTGCGCCCATGAGAGCGGACTGGAATGGAGGAAGAAGGCTAATGCATCGATGATGGTCATCCGTCCTCCTGCGTCCTCCTCCTGCTCCCTCCTCCTGCTTCTGATCCTCCTCCTCATCTCCCTCGCTCCTGGAGCAGAAGAAGGAGCGAAGACGAAAGGAATTACGCACCTGCCGTCAGAGCCGGGGATGATGTCGGTTCCGAAGAAGCGCCCGCAGTAGTACAGGTGGGTCCAACCTCGGGAGCATCAACAGAAAGACATCCAGGCAGGGGTGGGATGGAGGAAACGGATGAGCAGGCCAAAGAGGAGGAAAAGGACGGAGGGAAATGGGAGAAATGAGAATAGAGAGGAGGCTCTCACCCAGCGGAACAGAGCTGACATCCCGTCAGTCTCCTGCGCTCTTCTTCCTAAACCCGTAGTCCCCTTCGGGAGGGATCCACCCCGCCCCCCACCCCTCGAGCGGTCAGAGCGCTCCAACGATAGCCCCAGAAGACGAAGCGTTACTTCGAAGATGGTGCAGACCTGCCGAAGCTGATTCCATATGGCAATTGGCGAGCGTCCGCACCCCCAAGATGGCAGAAGACATGCCAGAACGCACCAAGGCGGCCTACTCCATCGCCCGCCGATGGCTAACCAAACCGAGCCTAGCTCGTTTGGATATGGCTGTGGCTTCCTGCCCCCGCAAAGAAACCTGCTGCGGACAACATCGCTGGCTGCGAGGGCCCGCAGTATGACTGGCGCTGTGCCCATCGGCAAGGTTGGCGGTTTGGGCCGCGCTGAGTGGGGAGCGACGGGAGGCACGAACAGCGGGCAAGACGAGAGGAAGGCACTGAGAGGAAGGGATTGGAGGAGGAGAACGGCAGCGAGGGCAGGGCTGGGAAGCCGAGGGGCGAGGGAGGGAAGGAGGGAGGGATATGCGGAGAAGGGGGGAGGAGCGAGAGGAAAGAGGTGGGGAGGGTGAACTGGTCAGGACACCCAGAAAAGGGGCCCGGAATCGGAGGCGGCAGGAGGGTCTGAACTGGATGGACCTCGAGAAAATCTGCCACGGGGGGATCAAAGGGCAAATCTGGTCAAAATCTTTCCCTGGACCCTTCCCGGGTCCACATGACGCAGTGTTTCACCCTGGAACCCTTTCTGACGGTCCCGCGGGGTCTGAAAACAGCTTCTGGGTGCCGAGAACACAAAAGCCTGTCCCGAACCTAGCGCCTCGAACCCAGCCCCTCCCCCAGCTTGCTGGCCAGAACCAACGCTGGGCCACCTCAGACCCCCAGCCGGCTCCAAGCCCGTCGCGCCCTCAGGAGGGTCCTTGATCCGGCGCGGCCGATGGAACACGTCCCCGGGGAACTTGGGAAGGGGGTCTTTCGGGGCTCTCGCCCCAATGCCGCGTACACTCGTCTTTAAGCTTGCGGCCGTTACGTAGACAGAGGGGGTCATGTTTGAAATGGGGCGCGCGCATTCGTCAGATTATCCCAGTGCGACCCTACCTAGGAATTGGAGGATTTAGGAAAGCAACATCTATATGAAGCTAAGTTAAGCTAATATGAAGCTAAGCTAAGATGAAATAAGCTAAGCTAAGATGAGATAAGCAACGCTAAGCTAAGGGAGCGTAACTGGGGGAACCGAGGAGCGGATGCTTTAAGCTTAGCGATGCTATGCTAAGCTGCGCTATGCGATGACATGCTATACTATGATCTGCTATGCTGCGCTATGCTATGCTATGCTCGGTTATGGTATGATATTCGATGTTATGAAATTGCAGCGCTGCGCTATGCTAAGCTAAACTAAGCTAAGCTAACCCTCTAAGCAGAACCTAGGTAAGGAACTACACCCATGCTATGATATGCGATGCTGCGCTATGCTATGCTACGCTACGCTACGCTATGCTGTGCTCTGCTATGCTAAAGCTCACCGAAGCTAAGATGAAGTTAAGCTAAGTTAAGATAAAGCTGAGGTAAGATGAAGCTAAGCTAAGGTAATATGGAACAAGCTGAGCTAAGATGAGATAAGCAACGCGAAGCTAAGGGAACGTCACTGGGGGAACCGCGGGGCGGATGCCGGGGGAACCGCCCGGGGCGTGCCCCACTTCCCGGCCCTTTAAGCAAACAGAGTAAGAACCCTTCTAGGCAAAGCCTAGGTAGGGAACAAGCTGGAAAGATGGAGGGGGGTCGTTTCTCAAATGGGGCTCTCGCCTTAGCGTCGCGCACACTCGACATAAACAACTTGCGACAACTATGAGGATGGAGGGCGGCTCCTTTTTCTTGATGGGGGATCTTGCCTCAGCGCCGCGCGCGCTCGTCACGCAAGCTCGCGTGAGTTACAAGGATGACTGGCGCAATGTTCAAAAACAGGACTTTGCCTTAGCGCCGCGCGCGCGCTCGTTTTAGAAACTTTCAGGCGTTACACGGATGTAGGCCGGCTCCATTTTCACAGCGAGGCTATCGCTTGAGATCTCCGGAAACATGAAAACCATAATCTTGACAAAATGTAGCAGCTGCATGGATGGAGCGCGGTTCCTTTTCAAAACGGGTTCTCGCTTGAGATTCATTCGAAACTCATTGTCATATGAGTCATACTCTGCAAACTTGTGCAGCACATGCGCAGATGTGGCGATCCTGCTGCAAAACGGGTGGATGATGCTCTTCGACAAGCCCGTCGACTACCTCTGGTCCCTCCCCGACGTTCGACATGTTGCCTACGTCCCCCAGCAACGCCCCTTGGCTGGGACGCTTCACTCGAAGTCCGCATCATCGTCGACTGTCATTGCGTAGTAACGGCACGGTTTTGGCAACTTTTAGGATCCCGCGTTGTCCGTCCGTCTCATCCGCCTCTCTGACTGGGCTTCCAAAGGGGTTACCCTACAGCTAGACCTAAAACATAATAACATCCTTCCAGAACATGAAACCCTCCGCCGGCCAAACTGAAGACCACTCGAGGGTACCCTCCCCGAGGATGCACAGGAACGTGCAAGAAGCACGAAGAACATTAGGGCACCCTCCCCGAATCGACGTCGATCTTATACCTCGGTCCAACTGTACCTGGAACAGCTTCGAGCTGATTGGCGCCAGCGTCAGTTCCCTCACCCTTGCTGGGCTTCCCCCCGACCTCGTGCGGCTCCGCCCTCCACCTAGCCTCGCACTGCTCGGGTGCGCTCCTCAGCACGCACGCGACGGCCTTCACAATCTCAATGTGCCTCCCTCCCGCGTCCCCTCCGGGACCCTCCCTCCCTGCATGCCGCATGCCCTTGCAGCCTAGCTGTGCTCCGGCGCGTGCCGCCGCCGCTTTACCGCCATTTGGAGCCTCTCACGGCGGCGGACCTAGAAATGTCGAAACGGGGATCTCGGTGGACACCCCGTTGAACTTTATGACAAGTTATGACCACACACACACACCCAATTCGCGAGAAGGATGCAAGGCAGCTTCTTTCCCAAACCAGGCCCTCGCCTGAACGGCAGACCCATGAGGTGGTGGCCTTTTCAAGGGGGGCTTCTTGTAGTGGAAAGAAAAAGCTTGCAAGGACTGAGGAGGGAACTTGCGGCGGGAGGCAGTATTTCAGCATTGTTTACGCATTTTGGGTTCACTCTGGTCCCCTCTGCTCCTCTTCCTCCCCCTTCTCGTCCTACCATCCAAGATCTGCCACATGGACCTGTCGAAGGGTGCTTTCTGCCAAGAATCCCACCAACCCTTTCGGGTCTGAGTGAATCAGGGAGTTTCCTCTTCCAACCCCCCTCATTCCCATTCGGGGAGGGGTACCCCTACCCATACCACCTCCACCTGGGCTTGGAGGGAGCGTTCGGCAAAGGGTTGGAGCGTCCAAGATGACCTCGGCGAGGAAGCCAACATCATTGATATTGCCAGAAAGTCTTGACCACATTGGAAACTCATTGAAACATCCCCCTTGTTTGGTCGATCACCTCCAAGATGGCCCCCGAGGCTCCCAAGGGTGCCCCAAGACGGCCCCAAGAAGTGCACAGGATGCCCAACGAGGCCCCCGAGAGGCCCCAAGATGCCCCCCAAGAGGCTCCCGAGAGACCCCTAAGAGGCCCCACAGATGCATTGAAAACGCCCTAAGAGGCCTCGGCGAGAAGGACTACATCAGTGATTCTACTAAGTTGTTGGCGACATGTTGGCCTGCTGGAAGGGGGACGCTCCCAAGGGCGCCTCAAGACGGCCCCAAGAAGTGCACATGATACCCCAAGAGGCTCCCGAGAGGCCCCAAGGATGCACCCCAAGAGGCTCCCGAGAGACCCCCAAGAGGCCTCAAGCGGCCCCCCTGTGGCACCCAAGACGCCCCAAGAGGTCTCGGCTAGAAGACCGAACTCATTGATGTTGTTCAGGTTTTGGCCACAAACTGACCTCCTGGGTGGGGGGGGCTAATGCACTAGGGCTCCTCCTTTGATCGATCTCCTCAAAGATGGTCCCAAGATGGCACCCGAGGCCGTCAAGGGTGCCCGAAGACGGCTCCGAGAGATGCCCAGGAGGCCCCAAGAGGCCCACAAAAGACACCCAAGATGCCCCCAAGAGGCTCCCAAGAGACCCCCAAGAAGCTCCGAAAGGCTCCCCAGAGGCACCCAAGACGCCCCAAGAGGCCCTGGGACTGCCAAGAGACCCCCAAAAGACCCCAAGAGGACTCCCAGATGCTCCCGGAAGACATCCGAAGAAACTCCGAGCGGCATCCACGAAATGTCTGGCCTTTCTGCTCGCCCTCCTCGTCCACCTCTTCCTCATCCGCCTGCTCCTCCTCATCCTCGTTCCTCCTCCTTCGCAACCCCTTGCCCAGGCCGTCGCGCGCACAGGGCCGCCCCCGCTTGTTGGAGGTCACCCCTTCCCGCACCGAGCCAGGGAGGCTCAGCCTGATTTTACACTCACACACTCTTCGGCTACTATCATGTGGAACTCTATTGAATGTCGTGCTGTATAACACCCTTCACTTAGTGGTTCCCTGGAGGGCAGAGGATATATCAGAGACGTTGAGATGTGCAGACATTATGGTGCCCCCCGCGACCACCCAGAGACAGAAGATGAAGCAGCCCATCACGATGAGGCGAGCGAAGTATCACACCGCGTATGAGTTCGGCTGGGAGAGAGGCAGATACATCAACAAGTCGACAGGGTGCACCATCATGCTTCGCTCGCGTGACTTCCACAGCTGCCACGTCGTCGACCTTCGTCACCCTCCTGCGGAGCTGGCTGGTCGCGGTGGATTGGTCCGCATACGCTCAGGCGACTTTGACACTAT